TCTTTCCCCTATCTCAGAATTAGTTGTCTATGTATTTATCTAAAGCAACAAAGTGTGGGTCCATACAAAAGAGCTCAATTATTTTTCTTTTGTCTTCAGATCAGATGCTGTAAAATTTTTTAAACTTTCCTTTTTAGTAATATTTGATTGAATGCATAGTCTCTGAGCATTTATTGGGTTCATTCATAAATAATTTTTTGCTTTATTATGTTCTTTAAATTATTTTAAGTTTCCCTTAATTTATACCATGATTTATAGATTATTTCAAATTGTCTGCCTTGATTTTCAAATATTTAAAGATTTTGTAGAGATTTTTAACTATTATAGATCCAATTCACTGTTTTATTTGTGGCAGAGAGTAGTCTGTACTATTTATGTTATTAGTATTTAGTGAGACTTTTGTGACCCAGAATACAATTTTGGTAATTGTTCCACAGACATTTTAATAGAATATACATTTTGTTTTCTGACTACAATGCAGTATATTCATTGGTCATATAGGTTGATTGGGTTAGCCAAACTTTTTATTTCTATTGAACTGTGCTTATGTTTTATATTAATTAGCATAAAACAGTTGCTAAGTTTTCCATGTTTATTTCCATGTTTTCTACTTGTCTCTTTGTCTCATGTAATTGAACTATTTGAGTTTTGGTATGATTTAGGACTATTGTGTCAGATTGATGAATTAATACTTTTATTACTACAAAACCTCTCTTTTTATATGTATTATGATACTTGAGTAGGAGATTACTTTATGATATTATTATGACCATAAAGATTTTCTTCTGTTTGTGTTTTCATATCCTACTCCTTATATCTTTTAATGTCCATGAATGTATACATTCAAATATATTTTACATCAACAACATTGAGTTCCGTCTTTTTAGAAGTCCAATACTCTAACATCTATCTTTTTTTTTTGTTGTTTTTTTTTTCGAGACAGGGTTTCTCTGTGTAGCTTTGCACCTTTCCTGGGACTCACTTGGTAGCCCAGGCTGGCCTCGAACTCACAGAGATCCGCCTGGCTCTGCCTCCCGAGTGCTGGGATTAAAGGCGTGCGCCACCACCGCCCGGCTTAACATCTATCTTTAACTATCAAGCTCACTCTACTTATACTTCACACATAGTTACGGGCATGGCTAGTTTTTAATCTAACAAACTGAACTGTTATTTTTGTTTATAGGAAGTGTTTCCTGCTTCCCTATTTGTTCTCATTGTATCATTTCTTCTTTAGCAGTAGCAACTAATCACTCATATACCATGGTGAAATGACTCCTAGATTCGTAGACACACAGTGAAAATCACTCTGGGTGTAAGGTTTGCAGCAAGAGTCTATTCTATAGCTGTGTCTTAGGGATAGAAACATTCCTTTTTGGAGGGATCAGGGAGAGTCAAGAGGCTCACAAAACTCCTAAGAGCAGGAAACTCAGCAAGCTTACAGGACTCACCAAGCCCATCACCCAAATTATCTAAGTAGCAAGCCGTTGCTCAGGGAGAATAAAACCATAAGGTAGAAAACTGCCTTCCACTTATATAGGGAACTCTAGTGATCTGGTCGTGTGAATAGTCAGTCACTCATGCTGGCGTGAGACTTCTCAGTTGTGCAGCCACCTCTGTCTTACCTGTCTTCCCGTGATCAATCCCCACAAGGTCATTATTTCTTTCAGGGTTAATCTCAACTTTATTGGAGTCACTACAAGACATATCTCTGTAACTTATCAGGGTATTTTTTTTAAAGGATTAATTTTAGAGGGAGACCCTCCCTCAGAATGAGGAATGTCTTCTAGCAGCAGTCCAGCCTGAAGGAAAAGCTGTTGATTTTTGCCTGCCTGCTTGTGTGCTTGCATTGCTGATGAATACATCTCCTCCATGACTGCCAGTACAGCTGCTTCTCTTTGCTGAGATTGGAACCTGAGTTCCTTAGCTTTTTGATATGGACTGAAGAAGACCTGTGGCTTTCAAGATTGGAACTGCTGAGGCAATCGTTCTTATGGACTGAGCAATTACCATGTTCTCAGCCCCTCCAGACAGCCATTGTTGGACTGCCTAGCCTGAACTGTGTCAGCCAATATGATAAATCTCCTCTGTAATACATGCTCACACTAGCCATTCTGTTTCTCTGGGGAACCCTGGCTGATACAGGTTGATTAAGGTGGACTTGGACAGAATTGTTTCTTAGGACAATTGTTGCACTCTCTTTCTGTTACGAATAAACCTTACTGTACATTTCCCCCAGGAAAAAGAGCCCAACAGGTTCTTTGTTCCAGAATGTATGTCTGAGTGAAAGTCAAGCTCTAGGGTAGCTTTTGTTAATCTACTAAAATGGGTAATTACAGGAAATGTGTTATGAACTAGCAGGAGATGGAATACTCTCCCTAATAAGTTTAGTACATAAACTATCACACATGGATGTGGGATTTCTTAGAAAACAGAATCCAGCTGGAAGTTTGGCAGGAGTATTTGTTTGTCAAGGGTCCTTAACTTTATTCTTTCAGAATAGACTCCTGGAGGGTCCATTTGAGATTAAACTATGGCTAGCCAGAAAGGCTGTAAAAAAGATCAACAGAAAATATTAAGAATGTTCTTTTTGGAGTCAGACATCCTTTTAACCAAAATATGTGTTGACAGCTTAATAGATTTTGAATGGGTTAAAAATGAATAACCAAGATGACAAGGACATGAACCTGTTGGGCTCAACATGGTTCTGGCTGCCTATGTATTATTCAGCTAATGTTATTCTTACAAAGAACTCAAACATGAGCAGTAATGCACGTACTGCCACAGAGAGGCCTATCTGGAGGTCTCTCAGCACTCTTGAACATGCTTATCTGCCCAGCTTCCATCCTGGTCAAGTTTTGTTTCATACCTTGACAAGTAATGTCCAATAAAAGGGACCAAAACAAAAATATAAGCCAAAACAAAAAAGAAAAGAACTTTGACATACACATTGAGGCAAAAAAAAAAAAAAAAAAAACAGTAACAAAGGGCAGTTCACAATAATCTTTAGCAGCAATAGGTAATTAGACTTGCGCAGAGCAAATGACTGCCGTTATTTATCTTTATTACTCCACAGGGTTGTTTTTGAAGCTTACATAGTTACCATGTATGATAAGCATAAACAGTACCATACAGTAAACCAACATTTACTGTCATCATTACTGGAAAGTTGGCCTTATTACAGTGTTTTTCACAGGCTCATGGGTGTGTATATGATTGGTTCACAGTCCACACTAAGTACTAAAGTTGAAACATTGAACCGAATGCTTATTATTGGAACTTGGTATTCTTCAAGCACACCATTATACCAATTCCTCAGGGCAAACTTCCTCTATTCCAACTTGTTCCAAATCAGTTCATAAGGAAGACAATAAAAGACAATTACCACTCAGTGAAATGAATAAAACCCATGACTTAAAATGACCATTCAATCCACAAGATAGAAAATTAGGGGCTGAATACTTCAACTTGGGACTTTTGATGCTTTTATTTGTCAGACTTGCATTTTAAAATGACCAATAATCTACATTTACAGGCCACAACACCTAGATGTAGAGTTGAGTCAAACTTTATGTCCTATAAATTAGTGATGATGCATAATTGTCAATGTAAATCACTAAGGAAGCAGGTAGAGCAGTGGTTCTCAACCTTCCTAACACTGTGACCCTTTAATACTGTTCCTTGGGTTGTGATGACCCCCACCCATAAAGCTACATCACACCTGTAATTTTCTGCTGTTATGAATCGTACTGTAAATATCTGATATGCAGGATATCTGATATTGACCCCTGTGGGAGTCACAACTCACAGACTGAGAACCACTATGCTAGAGTTTGTGTGTGAATCTCAGTAGCAGAATGTCATTTCTAGCCTCTGAGCACTCTAATGGAACAAATAATGACAAGATCCAATTTTAAAGTCATTATAGTATAGGAAAAAGAAACAAACCATTTCTTAGGGCTCTAGAGCAAATCCCTCAACACTATTTACCCTTTGGCTGAACCAGACATGCTTTGTTCCATATGTACTTCAGTAGAGTCCAAAAGTTCTAAAAGCATTTGTAGTCATCAAGATAGAGTTTTAAAGTCAGGACCCCAAATGCAAATAGAGGACCACATTCTGTGTACAACTACAGACTGTCAGAAAGCAATAGGAAGATTAGTTCAAACTTATTTGATAACAAAATATTTAAAAATAATAAGCTTCCTTATACAACTTTTGGAAAGAAACTCACGTTTCTTCTTTACAGTAAAAACTATGCAAGGTAACAATATTTTTAAGAATGATAATTAGAAATTTAGCACACTTTGTTTTTACATTTTAATAATAATCAAAAGACATGTTTTCAAGAAGCCAGATGAAAATAACCATTGTAAACAGGGAGAAATAACATTTGTACCATATTGTATTATGAGCAAAGTCTTCTGTCTGATGAGAACCTCAGAACAGAAATCACCACACCTATGTGTTCACATGGTAGTAAATGAGACTCCACTGATATCTATAGAGTTTCCATTCTCTACAACGCTTTTTCTACTTTAAGCATGAATATTCAAAGCCCCCTTTACTTCAATATATATAGGACTGATATCACTGTGATACTATGTATTCATCAATGGACATGAGAACTCACTAGAAGATGAGTCTTAACTTGAGCACAACAAACAAAAATCATTTTGAAAGTCTTTATATTAGCATGCATTCCTCCAAGTTTATTTTCTCATAAATAGAATATAGACATTATTTTAATGTAAGGTCTCATATAGCACATGCTGACTCTGAATTCACTATGCAGTCAAGTATGATATGAACCTCCAATCTCAACTTCCCGAATGTTGTAATTACAGATATGTGACACATGCCAACTTGGACTATTTTGATTAGTACTATGGCTAAATGTTCTATATTTCTCCACTTAACTATAATAATACAAATGTATAGCATAGTAGTTAATTTGTAACTGTCTCCTTTCAATGTGTATTTTAAAGACATGATAAACTTACCTTAGAGAGGCCACCTACTTCCAAATAAAAGCAGATGATGAACACATTCCAGGTGACCCAGAGGGCAGTCCACACTGTATACTGGACAGGAAAGGGTTGAGAGAAAGAGAGAAAAAAAACAGAGATGAAAACCATATGTTTGAAATCAATCAGTAATAGAAATGTCAGTAAATATAAGTCCTTTGTTAGGAAATAAGGTATAGTCAGAAAAAAACCCTTTTTATAAGTTATCCTAAGATTTAAAATCCAATTATTCCTGTTTTCAATGGATATCAAGAAAACTAGATTTCTAAAATGCTGTTCTGACTTGCAGATCCAACTTAAATCTGAGTGCTCATGTGATTTCTGTTTTCTGTGTATTATATTTTCAAAAGAACAGAGTAATGCAGTTTTCTGTGAGGCACCAGTATATCTATACCTGTCTCTATCTATCTATCTATCTATCTATCTATCTATCTATCTATCTATCTATCTGTCTGTCTGTCTGTCTGTCTGTCTGTCTGTCTGTCTGTCTGTCTGTCTTGTCTGTCTGTTTACCCACCTACATAACAGAAACATGTCAGATAGATTGGACAGATAAATATCCAATTCATTTCTGTAAATTGTCTAATTTTAGAAATTTAGTCATAGTGGAACTTCATGTCTCTGAATAAAGACTTTGAGAATGGATATGTGGAGTAAAGATACCAACTCCTCTCTGTTGTGTTATTTTACTAAGAGTAGAGCTCCTGCTACTGTAATCAAATAGTGAAAGTTTAACCACATAAAATATCTTTAATCTAGCCTGTTCGTTAGCCTGTCTGAGTCTGTGGACTATAGCATGGATATCTTTTACTTTACAGCTAATATCCACTTATAAGTGAATACATACAGGAGGGATTAAACAGGGATGCGAGGATCTCCCTGGTAATGGGTAATAGAATAGATTTTGAGGGGTGTACTGGGGGCAGCTGGGGTTGGGAACAGGAGGGATCAAATGGGAGGAGGGAGGGAGAAAATACTGGGAGAAAGGACTAGAATTAGGGGGCATTTTGTTCAATGGAAACTCCATGGAATGAATCTATGAGAGTAACTCTAGCAAAGACTCCTAATAATGGGGGACACAAGACCTGAGCTTGCCATGTTCTGTAACCAGGCAAGGCCTCAAGTGGAGGGACTGGGGCACCAACTCAGACACAGAACCTTCGATCTACAGTTTGTTTTGCCTGCAGAGTGTTCTGAGACAGGAGCCTAGCAGAATCATCATCAAAGAGACCAGAGAGACTTCATCCAATAACCAATGGGAGCAGGTGCCGAGTCCCACAGCCAAACATTAGGCAAAGCTCAGGGAGTCCTGTGGAGGAGGGAAGGAAGGATCGGAGGAGACAGAGAGGTCAGGGACACCAGAAGAACGTGTCCCACAGAATCAACTGACTGGGACACTCGGGGACTGGCAGAGACCAGGAAGCCTGTAGGAGTCTGAGCTAGGTCCTCTGCATATGTTATGGCTGAGTAGCTCGCTGTTCGTGTGGAACTCCTAACAGTGGAGTGCGGGGCATCTCTGACTCTTGCCTGCTTGTGGGGCCCTTTTTCCTCCTACTGGGTTGCCTTGTCCAGCCTTGATGTGACAGAGTATGCCTGGCTTTATTGTAGTATATTATGGCATATTTGGTTGATGTCCTTGGGAAGCCTGCTCTTTTCCGAGGAGAGAGGGTACGGTACTCTGGGGGAGGAGAGAGAGGGGAAACTGTGGTTGGGATGTAATATATGTGGGAAGAATTTAAAAATTAATATAACTGTCTTTAAAATCCAAGAATTAATAACTAGGAGAATGAGCAAATGAACAGCAGATTTCTATTATAAAAAATACCTTTCATTCACATCCTGCTGGGAAAGGTCAGAAACAGCATCAATAAGAGTATTAGCTAATCAGATTTAATGCAGTCCAGATCAGACTCCTGCAAGGAGATGCAGAGTCCTAGGTAACTGGAGATAGTATATGCAGTAAGCATGGTTGACTGATTAAATACAATAGTTTGCATGCTCATCTTACTATACTGGAAAAATCTGTGAATTCTTGAAACAGGTCTGTAAGTTAAATTATTTCTTTCTATGAGTGATTTCATTCATTGTATCCTGTTCTTAAAACAACATTTTAAAATTATTTTCTATATATTATCCTATATGTGTCAAATAACAGAAATATGAACTTTAGGTACTACATTAAAAACCACAATCCTATCAAATGTTTACTAAAAGTGTTTATCTGTAAGATTCAATTTACTGTGCCTTTGCTATTTATGATCTCAAAGGATTTAAACATGATCTCATGTAGGTGTGTAAACTGAGTGAATATATTTGAGGTAACATTATTCTTTTCTGAGAGTGTTTTGCTTTTTCAAAAAAAGATAATAAAATTATATGAAGCACCACAGTCACTGAATTTACATTAACATATATTAAAGAAGTCATATGATCTATGATAAGTCATGATGGTTTAAATGATTTTAGTTATTTATTACCAAAGGCATTCAAACACACTTTTCTGAACCATGCACTATACCCATGGATATTGAAAAGAACTTATCTATATCCTTAATGAAACATTTTTATACATCACAACTACAAGAAATATAGATGTTCTGCTAATCAGAGGGCACCCAGCATGATGATGTACACTCTGAATTAATCAATAGTGTCTCAGAGCAGGGAGACAATCTGAACATCAAGTCAGGAGGAAAACTTCAGTGACAATAGTTAAGGAAAGGACATCAACTACGCCATGGCAGAAGGTTTTGTTGTTGTTGTTTTTCCTATACTGGGAACTAAAGCAGGCCCTTGCAGACCATAGGCAAGCTCTCTATCATGGGACTTCATCCCAAGAAAAACAGTGTAATTCTTAATCATTACAGCTCAACTCTAAATCCCCAAGTACTGAGAATATCCACCATATAACAAAAGTAAAATAAAACAAAGCCTTTTCAAAAATCCCAGCACAAACAGTACCTGAAGGGAATGAAAGATCTCCTGCAAGTTGTATTATAGATTCTGTTCCTGACCTTTCACAGACATGATGGCAACTGCCTAATTCTACACATTTGACTGTAACAAAGGTCATTATGACACTTCCTGTGTTCCTAGTATTGCACGACGCACTTTCCAAGGGGTCTATCACTCAAGTTACCATATTAAAACCCTGAAGAATGGATCATCCTTTGGTTCCCTATTGAGTATCAGAGTTGTCCTATGAAACCTGGCAGCCTGCTCTAGAGTCAGCATGCTTAATCTGGTAGGCTTTATTGCAAACCATCTCAGGAAAGGGACTATATCTGCAAACTGACTCTTCACTAAATTTTTCACCTCATCAGATGACAAATTAATCAAATGACCAGTTTATTAAAATTTGGTTCATTTATATAAATTCTGTAACATAATGTTTTGGGAATGACAGGGTTTTTTTGTATTTTGTAATAGATATGTCACATGTGGTAGGAACATGACAGATTTTTGTTTTGGGGGGAGAGAGATAGAAAGTTCCTTCTAATATAGTGCTGGTTGAAAACAATGACTGCGTTATTGTATTTTGTTTGTGTGGAATATAAACGATACACTTCAATATGTAGCTGAGAGACTGCATGGATCACAGACATGCAGCAGAGAACCTTAACAAGACCAATCCATGGATGAGCATTTACCTAGTCAGAAATACTAAGTCATCACCTTAGAGACTGGTTATCCATTCTGCCTTGTCTTTGAAGTGGGTTGTTTTAATTAACAAATTAGTTGTCATGATATTTAGTGTGAGATGGCCTTCTATTTTTGACAAATATCTTTTGGTTAGTATGAAGCATGGCAACAGGCTTGTATATCTATGTAGTTTAGATAGAATTAAAGTATAAATGATTTGACTTCTCCATGTTAAAATTAACTGTGCATAATCTTTCCTTTCCCATGTTTCCTTAAACTCTGCACACATATTTTAAGTCCTATTCCCATAAACAATGAGAGCATGGGTTTGTGTGGTTTTCTAAACATTTTCTCATCTTATTAGGATATTTCAGCGTGTGGTACTTGAAATAAACACTTTATAAGTTTTCCAGTCTGCATTTCTACCATTGAGCGTTAGTTTTTTAACATGAATTATGTTTACTAAGGCAATTTGGCCAGTCATTCTTCCGTATATGTATGAATCTACACCAGCATTTGCTCACAATATGCTATGAAACAAATGGGATAGACTCTTTGCTTTTCTATTCTTCTGCTCTCTCGTGGAATTTATTATTTTGGTGAGAAGAACCTTAAGGGAAACCTGCCATCCCTGTACCTTATTAGCAAGTAAGGCAGAATGGAGGCAAAAATAAAGAAAGTAATGAATAGTAACAGTTAACCATGTATCAAGATTTGGTCTAGGTTAGCCCAAGCCAAACCTGCCACGTATATTTGACTATTAAAACCAATCTATGAAACAGAGGAGGTAAATATGGCAGTTTTAAAATCAAATCAATGTTCCAAGGCTTTACAGCCAGTGATAAATGAAATAAAGTCACTTCATCTAAAAACCTTAAATTCATTTACTATTTCTTCATTGAATGTTAAGCATGAGGTAGAATACATTAGTGGGTGGCTACAATTCTGCTTTCAAGAGCACGTGCTGAATACAATGTGAAATTCAGAGACTGTGATAATTAGGAAGGGCAAAGTAGGAAGTGAGCAGAATCTGTGCTCATAGTCAGGACTAGGCACTTAGTCCTGACCAGGTGACCAGTATAGGGCAGGCTTTTACTAAATGACAATTTAGCTGAGGGATTATGAAATTTCCAAGAGTGGAAGGCTCAGAATGTGTCCCCGAGGAGGCAGAACAGCACATGGCCCATAGAAAACACCAGAGGTAATCAAGAGGCAAAAGGCACAGGAAAGCAAAGAAACCATTTTCTCCAGTTTAAAATTCACACTCTATATGGAAGTTTGATGATAGGTACTGGAGAACTTCTGCTTAGTCATTTAGCTAAATCATTTTTATAAGGGTGATTAATTCTTTGAGGTCAAGTATGGCAAACTCCATCTATTGTCAGAAATGGCAGTAACTTAACTGCCATGTGTTGCTATACTTTAAGCTCCATTAAACTGTTGCAGCAGCAGATATCATATTTTATTAGTTTCTGAGTAAGCACTTAGCACGTACCTGGTACTCCAAAGCATTTGTTAGTCTGAAGTGGATTAAGTGTAATTGGCACATAAAAGGATGGAGACACAAAGATTTGCAGATGTGACTTCAAGATAAAACCTCTTGCAATCTAAATGTTAAACTGCAACTGTGGCACAACCATGGTATGTGATAAAAAAAAAAAAGCAGGACTTCAGTGTGTCATGAGATGTCTGATGAGGCTCTGGAAGAGTCAGGCTACCTGTAGAAGTGCCTGGGAGATGAGACCTGCTGTGGGAATCCTCAGGGAAGAAGGGATTGAAAGGATTTCTGGGCTGGAATCATCCCAGGGCATCTATAAGTTCAAAGCCATTCATTCATTAAACATTCAGAGAATATTATGCTTTAGTAGGGCTGGGTGACTAGAATAATAATACATATAGAAGTGCTCCATCTTTCCAGGAGCTTCCCACCAAAGGGAAGAGGTCTGGGGAGTAGGAGCTAGGGTTCCAGAGGTGAAATGCTGTGAAAAATGGAGTGAGAACAGCTGGGCAGTGGCCTGGCAAATATTTAAGCCAGGGGAAGAGAGTTGGAATAGTCAGTGATGGGGTATCTTAGCTCAAGTGCCCTCAGCTCCTGCCTGTCTCTCCAGCCTCTTCCCCTCTGCCTGGTATTTGTGGCTCAGCTCAGCATTTCCTTGGGCACATATCTTTCTATACAGTTTAATGATTGATCACACTGCTCCTATGCTTCTGTGTCATGAGCATGATTTATAATTTGTTCACATGCAAATCTCATTTATTAGGCAGAATCTTTGAGAACACCGAGTGCAATGGAGCTTCTGTGCACATGTCTTCCGTTTTCTCACTCTTACACCAGATGCGTTCACAAGGTTCCCTTGGGTGTTACTTGCATTACTTTTCTTTCTGGTTTCTTTTCTTTTGCTTTTCTGTCTTCCTTGTAACTTTCATGTAAGGAAAAGGAAGCTTGAGAAATTCCGCAATCTTTAAAGATAAACACCTACAAGTCAAACACTTCATGTTTTTGTTCTTATCATTGTCTCTTTTAATGTGGTATGTCATTCGTGTTTTTTCATTTTATTTACAATCTTACCAGACTCCTAGGGAGTGGGAGAAAGAAAGCAAGAAACTGAAGGGAACACAAGACCTCCATGACAAATGCTTCACTTGACTTAATCTTTCCAAGAACCCTGTGAAGTCTGTTTTAGTATCCTTAGTTTATAGGTGAGGAAGGGCTGGCTCGATGGGATGGTGAAGTGACTTGCTCAGGAAACTCCTCATGGATCAGGAGAAGCAGATGTGTATTAGTTCCACTCCTCTTGGTAGCTTCCTGGAGTTTCATCACCAGATCCCAAACCTTAAATAGTCCTTGGTGTAACTAGCCCTGCCCTGTTTCCCAGACAATCACATTGCCTATGAGGGAATCCAAATTCCGGCATGGCTACAAATTGCCTGTGATACTAAGTTTTAACTGTCAACTTGGCATAATGTAGAATCAACTGGGAAGAGAGTTTCAATGGGGAATTGTCTATATTAGCTAGCCTGTGGTCCTGTTGGTGGCTATCTCGATCACATAAATCAATGTGAAAAGACTCAGCCTAAAAGTGGCCGGCTTCATCCCTGGCTTTTGGTCCTAGACCCTATAAAAAGGAGAAAGTGGGCTGAGCACATGCCTGTCCTAATGGACTGTTCCCTCCTCTAGACTATGGATGTTGCTACTTCCGGTTCTTGTCACCTTGACTTGCCAGCAATGATAGATGGTAACATGAAACTGTGAGCTCAAGAAAACTCTCCATCCCCTAAGTTGCTTTTGTCAGTGTATTTTGTCATAGGAAAAGAAGCTAAGCTGCTTCCCATGTGAGACAAATGCATAAAGGATCACAAGCACAAGGTGTCTGTTCAGAAAGGTTCCTTTCACGCAGAGTACAGGTTACTGCTGAGGAAGAGTACTGTGCTACTGAAACTGTGTGCTAGCATTCCTTTACTTTATGACACACGAGTCAACTGTTTCTAAGTTTGTTTGCTTACTTATTCATTTATTTTTAGTGGGTACTCTCTCCTAACCCTATACCTAGTGATCTGCAATTAGTTCTAGTGTTTTGTTTTGACTGTCCAGGCAGCTGGCTGTTTCTGTCAACTCACAAATTTTTTGGAAGTTGCTTGCATGCACTTTCTGTTTTTATTTTTGTTAGCTAATATTATTTCCTTCTTGGGTCTCTGAGGGAGTTGAAGATTAGTTAGTTATAGTTGAAGGTTAGTTAGTTATAGTTGAAGATTAATTAGGATAGAAAGTGAATTAGATACATTTTGGACTTAACAAAATAGGATAGATAATGAAATTATTTTCTCTGAATTTGTCAAATACAATTGGACTAGACATTGTTTAGACATTTATTACTTGTATATATTGTATATAGTCATTGTACTTTTGTATATAGTTTTTCTTTTGTTAGTTATAACCTTTTTCTTTTTTTTCCTTTTTATTAAAATAGAAAAGGGGAAAAAAAAATAAAGCTACTATCTCATAAAAAAAAAAAAAAAAAAAGATGGAAAATGGTTAAGTTACAAATTATCTGAGTGACTCAAGGGGAAACAGCTTTTCAGTGGCTGCAGAAGGAGACCTGAATCTGAAAGCTAAAGACACCCCCACTCTGGACTTGGAGATGAAGGAGGATCAAGACTATGTTACTTATGTCCCATACATAATACAATGTCTGAAACTAAAAGCACCTTCTGGACTGTGAGAGGAAGGGAGGCCAAGTCTGTGTTACTTATGCTACACGTATAACATGATGTCAGACTTTTAGTTGAAAGTAAATGATAGACATTTTGAATGAATGAATGAATGAGTGGATAAAAGAATGAAGGTAGTTAGAGTAGGTGGAAAGAAGGAAGGAAGTTAAAGGGAGAGGAAACGAAAGTGGAAGGAAGAGAAGATGGGAGTGATTGTGAGAATGAACTTGGGCCTGATCAAGGAGATGCTTGACCTCCTATGGAGCTTATAACAGGACTTAGTTAACAATTTAAGAAAGTGCAAACAACTCATTGTGAAAAACAAAGGCTGGAATCACACAGGCATCTCCATATAGAGGAGAAAGACAGAAGAAACTTCAACCCAGCAGTGGTTATGGGGAAAAGGCATAGTACTAACAATGTCTCTAAACATACCCACAACCTCATTCTGTATACGCCCTTGACTTTCTAACCATCTGGTATTTGGAGCCTTAGTAAAAGAACAATAGCAAAAAATAAAGTCACCTGAGACTACTTCTATTTAAAGTTCAATAATAACTTGATATTATGAAGACACTAAGGCATTTTATGCTATATTCCATATCGAGGGCATCTCTTTCTAGTAAATCTTATAGTAGCTCAGATGATAGTCAAAAGCAGAACAGGAATTGCTTATCCGTACAGCAAAGTGAGGGACATCAAATGTTCTTCACTCCCAAAATTTCACAGAATATTTCCTATTTATAGGCCTGATGGCTATCTTAGAGGATGTTACTCCTATTTATAAATACTTACATTATTATAACTCATTATTTCCCATAAATCTCCTAAATAAGTAACCTATATTTCTGGCTTATTTTTATAGAAAAGACAAACAAGTGTTCTGAATGCCATCAATTACATGTAGGCTACTGTGTGCACCTCAAGTGCCCTACTACAGAATAGGCTGACCATGCGTTGCATACCTTGAGAGATGGACAAGTGCTTGAAGTGTACCTTGACAAGTGATATATATTCAATTTTAACAAACAGGAAACAAAAATATGAGAATATACTAAACATTGTTGTGTTCATGCAGTTATGATACCCTATGTTAATTAAAATTTTGTGTTATTGTATTCAGTGAAAAAACCATTGTGCTAGATAGGTTTGCTTTCTAAGGTTCACTGGGGCTTCACTGACGGTTAATGGTACCTGAATACAGTGACAGACAATGCATGTACATTGCATCTCATCATAGCATCAAGTGTATCATCCAGCCTTCTACTCTAACAAAGCCTGTCTTAAATTTTCTTGTGAACTTTGAAATCAGTTATGCCATGAATGATGCTGTCATCTCAGACTTACAGACATGGCTTTGCTCTGGGTGAGGCATTCTTTGCATTGTCTGTTCCACAGATTGACATTTATTGCACAATCAAGCATTTCAGAGGTAGAACAACAATACCGTGTCATATCAGAGGGGTTTACAAATTATTTTATTCATTTTCTTATAGTAACTTCATAGTGTTTATATGAAGAGACATGATAATAACACTTACCACCATGATGTAACGTGGCCTATACTGAATGGTTCCAAATAAACCCAGTATGACAACTATTATGTGCAGGAAATTTCCAAGAATGGGTGCCCACTGGAAGCCAAGGAAGTCAAAGATTTGCCTCTCCAGGGCTGAAAGCTGCAACAAAACAAAAATAGTACATTAGTGGCTAATCCAGACTCCATGCTATTATCTTCATCTTTTACTCCCAGTTACAGAAATCTGCATATTCAATTCCAATCATACTTTTCGAATTTGTGTTTCTAGCTTTCTTTCTTTCTTCCTTACTTAACTTCTCTCCCCCATCTTTGTTTTTTCTTCCTCCTCCTCTTTCTTTTCTTCTTCCTTTCTTTTATGTGGTGCTGGTGATCAAGCTGAAATGGTTGCATGTGTAGAATAGAACAGTTGTTTAACTACGTAAAGATGTGTTTCATTTGTTTGTGTTGCAGAATAATTGTTTAACTATGTAAAGATGTGTTGCTGTTTCACCTTGCCTGTCTAAGAAACCTAATTGATCTAATAAAAATCTGAATGGCCAATAGCTAGACAGAGGCAGGATCGGCTGGGCTGCCAGACAGACAGACATGAAGGAAGCAGGAAAGCCGGATGACAGTATGTAGATGAGGTAAACGATCCTCAGGGCAGCATGTAGATTAATAGAAATGGGTTAATTTAAGTTAAAAAATACGTAGCTAGAAACAAACCTAAGCTAAGACATTCATAATAATGTCTCTGTGTCATGATTTGGGGGCTGACGAACCAAGAAAGCCTGCCGCAGTCGTGTATGCTAGACAAGAACTCTAATACTGGTCTACATCATCAGACTTCATCACTGGGACCTATTTAATGAACTGTTTAATGCAGCTTGCCTCAGAAAATACTGTAAAATAACTTTGAATATTCTGACTTCAAGTATAGATTTTAAACTAATCTCATCTCATGATCTAGATATGATATACATACTTTTTAAATTATTATCTACAGAAAAAATCCAGACATAGAATATGCCTTAAATATATCACTATCTTCAAACAAGTGATTAACTTAGCACAACATACTTAAGAACAATAACAGTAACTTCAGGTTTGCAATAAAACAACTGGTATTGAATTAAAACAAAGCAAAATAAACCTTTATCTTTCTGTTTGAATTATATGTAAGCGATTATGATTTCTATAGGAAGAATGCCCCCGAAGCTCATGTGTTGAAAGCTTGATACCCATTCAACAGTGTTAGAAGAGGGGCAATTGGTAGGTGTTGGGCCCCCACCTTAACAGTGGACTAATTTCATGACAACAGATTATTTGGAAACTACAAGGGTGAGTTCATGCTGGAGCGAGTAGGTCATTAGGTGCTAAAATTTTGAAATATACATTTTGTCCTTATCTATCTCCCCTCTTCGGTTCTTGGTTGCCTTGATGTGATCGGCTTTATTCTAGCATATGCTCAGCATCCTAGTGCTCAGTCACATCAGAGGCCTGAGACAGCAGAACCAACTGGTCATGGATTATAACATTCAAAGTTATGAGCAAAATACAGCTTTTTCCCTCTAGTTGATTTTTTCAGGCATTTTATCACAATGGCAGAAAACTAGTTAATATATTATGCTGAATCTACTTGCTTCCTTCTATCTTCACTGGACTGCCAGTAGTGATGCCCTCTAAACACTTTCTCAATATGATTCCTAGTTATTTAGTTACACTAAGACTATGATCCTAATGTAAAACTGGAATGAAATAGTACTTTGAACCTTTGTTAAATCACATACTAATGTTCCAATTAGGTAAAATTCTTTTTGAATACCCTAATAAAAATTATGATACCATAACAATTTTAGAAATACCATAGAAAATTGTATTTTCATTATATATAATTACATTTTCAAGCAATTCTCCAATGAGTCAAACTGCATGCTTAAACGATTTATGATTAAACAATGAATTTCCGAGAGTCCAGTGAACACTGGCAATGGCGTTATCACGTACAAATGGTACTTCTTGTATTTTAAATCTAGAGATTTTATAGTCCCACCTGCCGTGTTTGGACAATAATCTTACACAATGGAGGACTTTTTCTAGATTTCCTTTGATAAAATAGTAGTTCTAATAAAATGATCCAGCAATTAGCCATATTGATAGCAGTAGAAACTGAATCTTTAAAATGCAAATAGCACCCTAGGTATTTTTCTACTTATGCAGCAGGTGTACGCCTGAATAAGTTTAATTTCCTTGTACATAAAGAATGTCCTCTATCTAGTGAGTGGAAGTTAAGCTGTGGAGGGGAAGAGTGGAGAGCTGATGCTCAGCGACAGTCACACCACAGCCACAAGGATGTCACAGGTGCATCCTCACTGTGAAATGCGGTGTCACCACTTCCTGCATGCTCTAATGTGCAGGAATGCCCAAGCACGGAATAAGCAGAGCAATGGAAGATGCTGAAACATATTTTCAATCCCTGCTTTCCTCTGCTACTGACTCTAATTAGTTCCCAGGAAACTTCCCCTAAAGGAAGCAACATTTTATTTATTGGCCTATCAGAGATATAAATATGCACTGTTTTTATGTTCAAATAGGACGAATCGGCACAGAATAAAGCAACCCTGAAGAGCAGCCACAGGCAATTCATTCTGAAACAGAAACCCTATTTTAAAGCTGTCATGCATCACAGAAACCTTTAAAGTGAACTTTTCAAACAAAGAAAAACTCGTTTCTCTGCTGTCAGATAACACATGATTACTATTCTTTTTTATAATATGAAAAAAAGACATAATGAAGGCAGCCAAATTAATGATAATTATTAAAAATCTGCTGCCTTCATTCAAGGTGCTCTGTCTATTAGCATTTATTTTCTGAGCACTTAACTAATGGATTCGAGATGGGTTGAAATAAAGGTACAAACAAAAGCCATCGAAAATAAGCACAGGCTAGTGTGGCAGTATACATCTGTATTTCTGTCATTTAGGAGATCGAGGCTGGAGGGTTGCAAGTTTGAGGTAAGCTTTGGCTGCATAGTAAGACCCTGTCTCACAATATTCAAATGGACAAATGAAAAATAGGGGCAGGGTTATGTCTAGAACAAGGTATAGGACTTCTCTGACAGCTATGTTTGCTGTGAAACTGAAATTTGTGTGTATTTAAAGTCAACAACTATAGTAACAACAGAAAACACATTAAAAAATAAAATAACCTGGTTCTTTTAATTTTAAGTAATGCCTTTAACTATCTAGTTATTTAGTTTACCAACGAAAATTATCTCTCTGAATGTTATAATCTCTTGAAGTACCTAGAACATGACAGTAATGATTCATAGTCACTAAATGAAATGAAATAATACACAAGTCACTTTATTATCTTGGCAAACGTATGGATATACTTTAGAACTGCCACTATCAGTGGTATAATGGAGCCCCAGGTTCTTGCTGGGAATATGAACCATGTTATTCTCTTGCGCATTGTGGTTACTCAACTCCTGGTATCAAATTGGGAGCTTAGTGTTCACCAGGAAGAAAATATTTACAAAATGGAAATTGTACAGTGCTACAATCAGGGGTTCTTTTCATTGCATGCACATCATCTTGTTAAAACAGTACTTTGGAAACAGGTTGTGTCTCAGGAGAGCAAGGACAGCCAGTCACCACTTTTGTAAAGTACCATAAACAAAATCAACCCAATCTACAGGAGAGCAGCAGAATGAGGGGTAGGAGCAGCAGGGGGTAGGAGGTGGTCAGGACATTCGGAAAGGTCTATAAATAAATAAATAAATAAATAAATAAATAAATAAATAAATAAAGCCACAGCAGAGAAAAGAGGGAATGAGACTTGTGTAATACTGAGAATTAAGTAAAGGGGAGAAGTCAAGCAGGCATAAAGGCAGTAAGACCCTCCAGGGAAGCAAAGCCAAGGACTCATTACTAGTCCTCCCCAAATCAACAAAAGCCCAAGTGAATCACTTCTAAGTGAACGTTGAGGTAGGCAATAACAGGAGAGATGAATGTAGTATGATTGAAAGCTAGCATGCTTCTGTCCCCCCTTCTGTCAGTTAAAAATTAAAAGCAATCCAAATTTTAATAAAAGACACCAAGTTCTAGTGTCTTATAGACTCACACATTACCATTAACCCTTCACCTAGTATCCTGAATAATTTCTTATAATATCATTCATAATTATGAAAATCAATTGCACTCAGATAAAGAGTTGTAAAACCTCCAAAATACCAGCAGGTCTCTGGGCATTTTTCTAGGCTGGGTCCTTCCAGAAGATTACATCCAGATAAGAGCGCAGAAGAAAGCTCATTTTTTCCTTCCTTCCTTCCTTCCTTTCTTTCTTTTTTATTTTATTAAAGAAAATACTTGAGGGCTATAAAATCAAGTTGAAGTTATCCTTGACTTGTTTATTTTTATCTCATTTTGTTGAATTGTAGCCCTCTAAATGTTAGCATTTAAAAAAATCTGACAGCATTGGTGAGTAGGTTTTAGAAGAGAGAGAGGGGGCTTTTATAGGCCCACTCTCATTGAATAGTCCCCTTGCTCAACAAAGAGAGATAGGATGAAAAGACTGAAATAGTGTCCCACCTGCCATAGAGTCACAAGTAAGCATCGAACCAACCATAGCCTCACAAAAGACCGAAGTTAAAGCACATTCTACAACTGCTACCCAAGCAGGGAGGCAACTTTTACTTAGGAATTCATGGAGGTAAGTATTCTGTGACCACAAAGGATTCAATAGGATTAAATTCCCCTTTAAGGGAAGATTTAAAGGCTGCAATTAACATCCTTATTAGTGAAATCATATCTCTCAGCCTGTTTCAAAGAAGCCGTGGGTTACTAGAGAATGTTTCTTGATACAGGCCAAGTCTATGGCACCCCCAGCTTCACTAATACTTCCTTTGCTTGAAAATTGTCTATCCATTAACAACCCCAAAGACTTTCAGGCTCCATAAGGGTGACTCACAGTTTCTGTGCACATAGATATGGCCTATTCAGATTGTGGTCACATATGATAAGCTAGAATTTAGAGATACTTTTCATGTTTATAAAATTATCAATAACATTTGCACTGACATTACTTCCTAATTTTGAGTTTTAATGTTCATTATTTATTTCAGCATGTGGGTTCTGGGAACTAAACCCAGGTTATTGG